TTTTCTGTTCTTTCAGAGCCACCGACCATCGAGGTGGACTTCCGTGATAAGATCATTATCCGTGTAGGAGAGAGCTGCCTGCTGCAGGGACGCTACACCGGCAAACCTTCTCCGTCTATTGTCTGGTATCGTGATGACAAGGAGCTGAAGGCCAACCAACACATCATGTTTAAGAACACGCTAACCACCATGTCACTGGGCCTGATGAAGGCACGCCGTGAGCACAGTGGCAGATACATGGTTGTGGTGGAGAACAGCACTGGATCCAGGAAGGGAGTCTGCAACATCACAGTTGTTGGTATGGAGGAAAAAAAACTTGCGGACGTAACTTGGGTTAAGACAAACTTGTAACAACAGATTGATAAAGATTCAGTGAATTAATGATCAATTTAGATAGAAAATAAAAGGGCTCTAAGAATAGATCCCTGTGGAACACCAAATCTAGCTGTGCCATTCATTCCCATTATTTTATTTTTAATTTTTTGTCAATCAAAGTTTTAACAAAAACAATCAACTGAACGTTTTTAGTATTTTCTCACTTTTCAGTTAATGTGACCGCTGGCATTTACTGTCTTGCCCTCGAGAGTCATTTTACAGCCGCTGGTTCCAGAGAAGCTCTTGATTCATGAGCAGCAGATATCAGGTTGAACCAAGCGTTTCCTCTAAATGAGTCTTCACTTCACTTTAGTGGCGTTCATTCCCATATTAACTGCCGAAGCAGAAACAAGTTAAAGCTTCAAATGAGTTAGACAGTGATTGACCTCAACACAGATTCCTTATTTGGCGACTTTCTTTGCTTTATTCCCACAGACCGTCCTACCCCTCCTGTTGGCCCTGTGGTGTTCGAGGAGGTGCACAGGGAGTACATGGTTATCTCCTGGAAGCCTCCTCTGGATAGTGGTGGTGTGGACATCTCCAATTACATCATCGAGAAGAGAGACGTCAACCGAGATACCTGGACCACAGTGACATCTGCCACTACCAAGACCGTTTGCAAGGTGGGTCCAGATGGTTTAACTTTAAATTTATTTAAGCTGTTATGAAATCAGATCTTCAGGAGTCTAATGTTTTTCTGAAAAGCAGCTTAGTGAGTTTTACAAATGAGGGTTTTTTGTTTTTTTCTCTCAGATCCCGAAGCTGACGGAGGGCAAGGAATACATCATGAGAATCTCTGCTGAAAACTTGTATGGCATCAGTGACCCACTGGAGTCTGAGGAGATGAGAGCCAAAGACCTCTTCAGTACGTTCTACTCACTGATAAGACTTTTAGCTCATTTCTGAATTCTGAATAAATATTTTGGGAAATATTTATCAATTCCTGAAAGTGAAAACATGTGTATACTCTAACTTACTCAGTGTATTAAAAAGACTACATCCTTCTTTAAATCTTCTTTCTTCACTGGAAATGGACCCTGACCACATTGTTTTTGTTCCTGTGACTCCCCTGCAGGAGTTCCTGAGGCCCCTGAGATGCCGACAGTTCGGGAGGTGTATGCCACCAATGCTCTGGTGCTGTGGAACCGCCCTCGTGACGGAGGGAGGCCCATCACGAATTACATTCTGGAAAAGAAGGAGCCAGCAGCCAAGAGGTGGTCTAGAGCCACGAGAGACCCACTGTACCCTGCCACTCAATATCGAGTCCAGGACCTTCTGGAGGGCTGCGAGTATGAGTTCAGGGTCATGGCTGAGAATGAGCTGGGAACTGGAGACCCCAGCGTCCCCTCCAAACCAATCCTCGCCAAAGATCCTATTGGTCAGTGTGACACAAACTCATGACAAATATAGAAATTGTTTTGATGATTACACATTTTTAAATTATGAATGAGTGTTAATGTATTTGAAATAAACAAA